TAAAATACACGGACATAACATCTTGTCCTCTGACAAACATTGAAATACATTGCATTTAGTATTTTTTTTTTGTACTGCAACATTTCTTGTAAAGTTAACAATTACAATGTTTGCGATATTTTCAAACCAAATACACGTTTATAAAGAGAAGTAGGCGCAATTTTCCGCTTGGATCATATTGATGATTCAAAGGTTCTTCGTTCATTCTATACAAACTTTCTATACAGCAGACAATACATAATATCCCCTGTCAGTTATAGATTCCAGATGTTGCAAGAATAATGACGGAATTGTATTGAAATCGACATAGTATACACAAAGCGAGTTCTGTAAATGCTCAAAGAAAGTTTTCTCTAATAATTTGTGGAAAAGTTACGCAATTCGTTTATAAAGATTGAATAAATTTGTAAATATAGATGTCTACAAGACGTAATTGCAAGAAAGAAACGCTATACGCTCGAATATTCAGCTGCAATGTTCGCTTCAAAATAAACGTTAGTCACTGATATTGATTTATTTTATTTTCAAACGGTATAATAAACAATTTAAAATGGTTCGATTTCTTATAAAAGTTTCATGAAAAAAAATAAGTTTGTTAGAGAAAAATTGTTTGTGTCATTTAATTACCAGCTAAAATATCAATTTCAATGTGGATGGAATAACATAATCAATACAGGTTGAGGTGCACTGATCAACACGTTGAACCTCATTTAAATTCCGTAAGACACGTTGCATTAGACTGTATTATTCGATCATTCGAATTATATCATTAAAAAATGTTATCTTTCTCTTTGAATTGTATCCTAATAGTTGAACGTTTTATTATCACACGTGTAATCATCGATAATTTTATCAGATGCTCGGTAAATAAACGTGACATTTCGATGTACAATAAATTTCGAAAGAGTTGTGGAACCTGAAATGTTGTAAATAACTGTAAATCTCGTAGCTGTAGCCAATAAAAATAATACAATTTATTAGTACAAAGTATATGATACATTAAATTGTGAATGCATTTTTAAGTTTCAAATAGAGGTTACATGATTATAAGGCAATGTTAAATTAAATAAATTAATAAATATAGATCTGTATCAAATTAATTACTTAAATACAATATATTACAAATTTCTCTATCGTGAAGCAAGTAAAACGAAAATGCATAAACAGAATGCAACAAGTGTGCTTAACATTGTGTAACTGCCTTTCATTGCTTAACTGTACATGCAATATTACGTGTTGTGTTGTGTTGTGTTTAATTATAACGACTGTAAGATGGCATTATTGTACAAAATAATTTATAGTGCGTTGTCAGTTGACAGTGAGCGCAGTCTTACTCGAAAGATCGTTAAAACCTATTGCCAATATCTTTGAAACTGAAATTTTATTTAGATCATTTTACTTCTAATATATTATTACTTAACTGCTATATGGTAGATTGTATATGTTTATATAAAATACTACTGTATAGAAGAAAATATTATATGTACATACAATAATACTATGTAAAATAGAAAATATAATTTTTAATAGTATACTCAAACTCGATAAATTAATAGACCTATAAACTGGAAGAACAAAATAATCGTGCATCACTACTGTAATTTTTAATCTTGTTTGTAATTAAGTCTTTTCATTGTGTTTAATAACAAAATAGCAATCATTTGCATGAGACTTCTATATAAATGTTTAATGTAAATATAATTTATTTTAAGTTAAACTTAATCAAGTTAATTATAACTTAAATGTTTGACTAAGCTTAAAACGGTATTAATTGAAAATGTAAAACTCTGACCATTGTCGGAGATACTGAAAAAAATATTAAGGATAAACATTTTATACAAAACTATTATCGTTAACAACGCATACCTACGTTCTAAATTATTTAAATTCGACAATTTGCAATTCTCAACAACTTGATAATAGCAGGCTATATTTTCTACGGCTGTTAACCGTTTCGCGCACCTTTCACGTTTCAATAGGTCCGCTCTAATATGGTGTAACGTTATTGGACACCGGTTGTAATTTAAGACGTAATATAAGAATCGCAGCGTTGCTAAAATTTTATTGACATGAACATTAACTGCTCTTAATGAATTGAAGTTGCAATGTTTTTAAAAAAAATTACATGGTCTATTTTAAAAGTTCCCGTTTACAAAAGAATTTATGAACTTTCCACTTTTCTTGTTTATATATAATAAAAGTGATGATTGAAGTTACTTTAAAAAATATACTGTTAACCCCTTGTTTTATAATGACGTGTCAGATTCGTGATCAAAATTTTAAACAGAATTTAACCGCTTAACACATAGTTCTTTAATACACAATTTATTCCTTCTATATAAATGAAAAGCTTTTATTAAACAAAATTAAATAGTAACAATTCTATTTTGATAATCAAATGGAAACATAAGTAATGGTTGATTTGAAGTTCATGTTTAAAACGTTGCATACCGAGAAAAGTATATTAACAAAAGTATATTTACAAAGTATATTTATAAATTAAATATTATTCTTCTGATATCAATTATTATACTTTAGAGTGAATGTAGATATAGAATATAATTAAAATTTCTTTCTTTTTTCAATAAATTATTAATGGCAAAGTAGTTGTATCGATCACAGTTAAGAAATAAATTAGAGGGCAAGGAGTAAAACAATTTTTTCTATCGTACAAATCTACAATTTTTACAGACAGAATTTTCTGGTCCCCGATGATCTTCCGTGAACCTATCTCGCGTTATTGTAATTCGTTGCAGGACCGGTCGTGCGACAATAACGTGCATGCACTACTTAAATAAGAAACAGCAACTGTGTATGTACATTGGGGTGGACCTTATTTTCCGAACACCGCATTTTTTTCGGGACACCCCTTAGAATTGTGAATTGTTTGAAAATGTGTTATTTTTGTATTTTGTTTTTCTCCATTACAATATATTTTTACAAAAGATGTAAAATATTTTAAGGAATAAAAAAATGTTTTAAATCCGTAATAATACCTTCAGTTCTTACTTCCCTAAATATTATTTTTTATAGTTTTTAAAGTGGTCTTTTTTCAGTTAACCTTTTTTTGTTTAAAGAAAGAAATTTGAATATCTTATATAATAGTTACAAATAAATTATTTGTAAATATACGAAAAAATGTCTTAGAAGAAAATTGTAGTCTGATAAGATAAACATAACGTCAAAGAGAATAAATTTGTGTGAATGTTAGTATTTCAGATTTCAAGGTCACGATTTTTTTTTTAAGATAATATTATATTTTATTTCTATGTTATTGTAGAGTATACAAAGACAAATTCAACGATGTATAATTTTGTATGCTAACGATATACTGTAATGGAGAAAAACGAAAGAAGAATAACAAATTTTCAAACACGACGTGTCACTATTTTCCGTTGTCCAATCGATTTCAAATTTTGCACCTATTATTTTTTCATCCTGTCTGACAACTTCTAAAGGATACCCCGACAAAAATATGATGGTCGAAAAATAAGGTCCATTCTATTGTACACATGAAACTATAACGTTCCGTCAGTTGCTCAACGTATAAGCGAGACTTATTCAGAGTGAGATAAAAATATAGTTTAACGACGTACGATGCTCATACATATGCATGTACATATGTATGCGACACGTGTATAGATGTTTCAACTACTTTATAATACACATTATTTTTTTTTGTCTTTTAACTATTTTTTATTGGGAAATTCCAATAATCTATTGACAACATCTTTATGAAAATATAATGAAAAATTTAAAGGTTCAAATTTTTTATTTATTATCTATTTTCTTGCTCAATATTTCAGTTGAAAAAGTTTGAGATGTGAATAGGTAAAAACAAACCATATTCAAGAATTCCAATAATACTTTTATAGACATGGACAAAAAATTACAATAAATATTCAAATTACTTATAATATTATACTCTTGTATTTTTTGGTTTGCAGATTTAATAACACTATTTATTTATCTATTACTAATCACATAATTTATATTTCCATATAACTTAAACGCAGAAGACCAATTGAAGCTTACAATTAGATTTTTGTTATATTATGGTTCAGAGTATAACAAACCAACCGCTCAATACTGGTAACATGATTGTAGAGAACAATGATTGATTAGCTGACGAGTCTTCTTTCTTCTTCCCTCTCTATTATATTGCTTCTAGCTAAAAACGTATATGTCTGTTCATTGTTAATATGTTAACTGCGACAGTCGACACCGCTGAGGAGACTTCAAAATAGCTTGAAAACGATTCCAACAAGAAAATTGATATCGAATAAAAATATTTAGTGACGTAAGCAATTAGGCAGTAGTATAACGTATGAATTGTAATAGCAAATCATTAATAATTATTTCTAATATTATTTATTTTTGCTATAAAAGTAACACTATAGAAGACGCTGAAAATTCTCGTGGCAGTCAACGTGTTAATGATTGTTGAAATTTAAAAAATAATAGACGTCTTCATGATTAAAAAAATATTAT